TTCCAAACAGCCAGCCCATGCACTGAGGACAGGTCTTGGTCCCACTGCCTGGATGCCTCCCAAAGAGTGTAAGTCCACTTTCCCATGGTGGGCAGCATAATTCAGGCTATACAGCTAGGCCCCCACTTTCCCTCTCATCCCTTCAGCCCTTTGTCCCGGGAAAGGAGGCTGAGTTGCCTCTGTAGTTCTTCAGTTTCCTTCTCTTGCTCTATTATCTTCATCTGCAATGTGAGATTAACATTTCCAGTTGTCTGGAAAAGTTCACTCTGCAGCAGCTGAAGAGCAGACGGTCTCTGTGATGCATTCCTCCCAGTTAGGAGCTGGATATACTTGGCTTGTACCGGACACCTCTTACTAAGGGATTCGGGTATCCGACCAGTCCTTATGCCTGTTAAGACTGTTACTCGCTCCATGTCTGTCCCGAATGGCTGAAAGAGCTCGAGCAGGATCACACCCAGGCTATACATATCTGACTTGGCATCATACTCGGATCCTTCCAACTGTTCGGGTGACGCATACAGACAGGTCCCCACTCTGGACGTATGTGTCGGCATTCCCTTTCCATTCTGCTGGTCCAGCCTGAGCTCTTCTGTATGATGTCTGCACAGGCCAGACCAAAGTCTCCTATTTTTACTTGCTGATCAGGGCCATGAAGAAAAATATTTCTAGGCTTCAGATCTCTGTGGACAATGCCCATGTTATGCATGTAAAAGACACCTTCCACCAATTCTTGAAATATTTTTGTTGCAACACTGGCCATGACGGAGGGACAGGCAGCTTCATCCACATACTCCCGGCTCCGCTTGTTCCTCTCGGCTATCCAGTCCCTCAGGGACAGCTCACACAGCTGCAACTGGATGTGCAGCATCAGGTGGTACCGAACCTCTGTCTGCTCCAGCAGGTTCAAATTGCCTTCAGAGGACTCATCCGTGGATGTAGAATTCCCTTCCAAGTCTGAGTTATGCCCCAGTGGCAGCTGATGCTTGACAACTGGTCTGATAGACAAATC